CCAGCATGTGAGTTGGCTGCTCCTTCAGCATGAATAAACTTCGGATCTTACTTAAAGATAACTTTGTTAATTAGTATTGACATTTCAAAGCCAAATGGCAGCTTCCTTCCTCATCAATAGTACTGGTGTTACACACGGTATGAAACCCTTATGTAAGTATCTCATTGATTGCAGTCCTACTTTGCAAATGCCATACTGCTTTTAAGAGCATTTCTTTGTGTTACATATAATCTGAGCCTTTAACTATTCAGTGTAATTCATACAAATGTACAAAGAATCCTCTAAAAACTAGATAAGCATAGCTTGATCTGGAATACCACCTGTTATTCATGCTTAATTATTCATCTCTAAAATGTTGCATACACATACACATTTACTACTACCCAAAAAAATGACTTATTGATCTCTCATTACTCTATTTCACCATGTTTTAGATCTGTCATACAAAATACAAACAGCACCCTTTGTTCATATAACTACGGTTTATATGCATGAGTGAATGTACGCTTCATAAGTAAATACAGTGTTTTAATTAATAACGTATGTAGCAGTGCAATTATACTACTGTGCTGAAAACTGCACAAATGTAAGTAAACAACACAGTATCTCTTCTAGGTGAAGTCAATATTTCTTCACTTCCTTGAGGGCCCATGATTTACAATATGCAAAATGATTCTGATATTCCAAATTCACCATGTTTACAGAACTCACATTAGGTAAAACAGTTTTTAGATTTTAGTAATTTCATGAAACTTCAAGGAATTCAGTGATTTTCTCATGGAAAGATAGTGATTGCCTTCAAATAGCTCACTAGTCAAAGGGGTTCAATCCAGCTGTTCTCCTTTTGAAGTGAAGATTTGAACTAAAGCAGCAGTTTCAAGCAGGTCATTGAGAGAAAAAAAAAACAACTTGCCAGGCTTCTAGCTTTAGCAGTAAATAGTAAATTCATTTGAAAAGATGGTAAAGACTGGAAACTTTTTAAAGATCGTGGATTTCAATGTCCAAGGACTTACTTGAACTTGTTATAGCTATGATTTTAGTCTGGATGAACATTAAGGTTCATCTTTACTGAGTGAACTTATATTAGGTCAGATTTTAATAGTGAACTTTTAAACTTGTAAGTTTTGCACTGGTTACAAAAACAAAAACAAAAAGAAATAAAAGTATTAAAAAAAAAAAAAGGGAAATGATAACTGCTTCTGATCTTCACGATGTTCTGCGTCTCAGTGTACAGGCCAGGTGCATCCAAAGATATGCTGCTTCGGTTTGAGGTCACTTTGTATTTATCCATCTATCTTCAATTTGTAGCATACACAACTTTTAAGGATTCAAGGCTAAGTGGTTGTCTAGAATCACCAGAGATCCATTTTCATTAGAACATATCAATAACAACCTGGGATTAACTGATGAAACTATGAAAAAAATTAAAAGCTGCTTCAGTAAGCAACGTGCTTTTTATGTGTCGAGAGCAAATGTAAGAATTTCTTCTCTCTCCTGAACCACCCTGCCTGCAGAAGATTCAGTTTCTGTTGTGTTCACAGCTAGAATTCCCATGCCAAGTGATAACACCATAACACCAATGCAAATTTCTAAACACAAGACTCATTTGATTTCGCTACTATATTCCTAATCTAACATGATGCAAATTTACTATCCTTTAGAAGACAGCTAAGAGTAATACATACAAAGCAAGACATACAACACAGTTTAACACAAACTGGACAATATCACATAGTGTGCACAGTCCAGCCATTCCAAGTACAGATTCCAATTATTACATTAGAGCTAAGACTTTATGACATTTCCTACAAATGCTAATTAGCTGGTAGGTTAGGGCCCTCAGTCATGTAGCACTTCATCAATCACAGAGCTTAAACTATTAAAGATGGAAACTAACATTTTACATGAAAAGTTGTATTGCAAGTCAAAGTAGAATATATTAGCCTCCTTTACATGACTTTCTTTTACAACAATTCCCACAAAAGAATTTCCACAAGCTGTTGTCCTAATATGATCCAGCTCTACATTCTCCATTCTGTTCTTGTCTCACAGCTACTGTTCTCAACACAGACTCAAAAACTTCAGTGTGTGTCTGTGCACATGCGTGTGCATACACAAATATCTACAAATTCCTAGAGTACAAAACACACCAGTTATAGTCACTATATGAAAGAGAAAATTTGGGGAAAAAATGGATATTAAAACAGTTGTCATCCAGTTCAACAGTTCTGCCCCTCAACCTACACCTCAGACATATTCATAGAACTTTGCACATTCTGGTAAGAAATATATAAAGAATTCTGAGGTCTGCCCCTCAGCATGCTAAACTGACAGATATGAGGTGTAAGACTAGCTTTGCCAGGTTAAACAGGGCTATTAAAACAACATACCCAACTTTACTGGCACTAAAATGAAACAGTGGTGCCAAAGATTCTACAAGAAAGAAATATTAAGTAATATTGCACCCCTGACATTGACATAAGTTTATTATTACTCCATACCAATCTACCTTGATCCAAATCCTCTGAATGCTTGCATTTCCAGAATTTGGACTCCTTTAGGCCTACAAATTATACTAAATAGCGTGATATTTTTTAAATTTGCTTTAAAAATACACCAAAATCAACAAATGGAAGGACAACGCATCATTAGCTCATTATCTCATTAAACTTTTGTGCAAAAAAAACGCCTTCTGTATGTTCCTATGCCATCCTGTTTGTTCTGGTTTGTTCCCTATATTTTTGTTTCCTTCACATTTTTTAGTAAGGAGCCTTCATGAGAAGGCATCTTATTCTCTACGTGAAACAGCTATCTAAAAAGAAGAAAATTCTATATTTGAAAATGAGCTTTCCTGGTTTTGCTTTGGAGTCCTTTGTATTTTGCAACATAGTGGATAGTAGTAATGTAATGTATACAAGAGAAAGAACATAGAATTAGAAACTTCTACATATTCCTTCCCAGTCATTTCAGGTTATTACTAACTGAAATTTTAACTACCGTATACACATTATTCCTTCTTCAATTACAGAAATACAACCTGTAAAATAAATACTGTTTTTAAGCTGAATGTAACACTTGAACAGAGCAAGGAAAAATGTAACTATCTATACTGCATCAACAAAGGCAACAAAATAGTAGGTTATTCATCTGTACTCATGTCAAAGCTAAATTACATAGAGAAAATCTGTCCCAGAAAAAAAAAAAATTATATTTATATAATGATTTGGGGGGGACTGAAAAATCACAAGAAATTCATTTTCAAAAGTGGTTTTATGAGAGTAATAAATGGTGCAACGTCCTACTGGAATGCAAAGGACAGACAATCCACTAGAGGGCCTAACTGTTTCAGCTTGCATGTAATCTGAGGAGGAGCACAGCACCTGCACTGACTTCAGCACACGCACACGTGCTTTATTAGCAGATTAATTTCTAAGTATTCAACAACCAAATGTATGGCCATCATCATTTGAAGTGAAAACAATAATGGAAGAAGTGTCTAGATCAGAAAATGAGCAATAATTGGAGAAATTGAAGAGGAACAAGGAATCCAGGAAGAAGTAGAAGATGGAAACATAATAGACTTATGTAAAGAATGAAATAACAGTAATCAATATATAACAATACTTTTTAACAAAATATATTCTCAGATATGGTTGCTATTGGAAAGATACGTTGTCAAAACTGGGAAGAAAAGAGGTACATCTGAGAACTCAGAATCATTAATGTTGGAAAAGACAACTAAGGTCCAACCATCAACCCATAACCATCAGGCCCACCAAACCATATCTCTAAATGCCACATTTATCCTTTTTCTTTAAAATCACCAGGAGCAGTGACTCCACCACATTCCTGGGTAGCCTGTTCCAAACTTCTTTCTTAGATGATAACGTACACTACTTAGACTATTTGAGAATCCCGGCACAATGACAATTTTGACCATTGAATCCACATCCCTCCTACTCATCCATTTTGTTTATCATTGTATTTCATCAAAATACAATGTCAAATGCAGACAGAAGAGAAGCACACATAAGCAACAGGAATTATATATGAAATCCAGAGGAAAATCTCTGTAGTATTGTAGAATGTGTCAGCATCATTACTAGTAAAGAAAAGTTTAGGTTACTCTCTGGCAAGAGCTATCTAAAGAATAACTGACAATATGGACTAGACATTCTTTAATTGGCTGCAAATGGAGGAGAGAAAAATCTATTTGATCCCACAAACATTTTCTTCATTTATGCTCTCAAGTGCATCTATATACACTGCAGTGATGCAAACACACACAGTACACACTCTCTAACATAAATCATTTTGTGTGTGTCAGAGAAAGGATACGGTAAGTAAGCACTCCACAACCATATGCAGAATCCAGAGCTACATTCCCAAGAAAGTTCAACCTCACATCTCCACCACAAAGTGGAAACTGTAACAATTAAATCCAACATGCAATGGAGCTAAGTCTGTGGAAAATTAGCAGTAAGAATAATAAGGCTGTTTGAAGTGATCCTGCATTCTGAATATCTGTAGCCCGTCCTGCATAGGAAAAGCAGATAATTGACATAATTTGGGTTCTTTCCCCACTTCCTTTGCTGTCTCTATCAAAGTGTATTTACAGAAAAAAAAGAAGTGTACTAATCTTTCAGAAGTTTCACGTATTTCATTTTGTTTGCATTACTTGGAAAGACTAGTATTCAATGTTAGTATGTATAAAAGAAACCCTGATGGCGAGGAGTAAGATTTGACAGGATTTTTAGGTCTTCACTTAACTGCTAGAATTTTTCCAAAGTGCATCACATAAAAATTTGTAATACAAATAAAATATAATACCACAGGAACAAACTCATGGAAGATAACACATGTTACAGAGCTACTTGACTACTACCAACTTACTCCTTGCAATTTTTGTAATAATTTAAAAGTAAAATGGGTCAAGAAGTGTATTTCCATTGTAGGTGCCTCATGAGTTTTATAACATACCATTTCATCAGTGATCTTACCTTTTTTTGAAGGACATTGATTTTCCTTTCTTTTACTTCCAACATGTCTTTCATATCCCGAATCTCTCCAGCCAGGGTTCCTTTCTCTTCTGTGAGGTCTTGAAGTTGTTTTGTTTTTTTATTGAGAAATGTTTCTTTTTCTTCCAATCGCAACCGCAAGGCATCAACCTACAATAAGTAAATCAAATATATTTGGTTGTTGGTAAGGATGAGAACTATATTTTTCTTTTTTTATTTGCTTTTTGTATCACCTAGGAAACATTTCTTTTTTTTTAGTGTAGACTTTCTAACTTTACCTTGGACCAAAGAAATTCAACACGTAGGACTCACTAAAATGCAATTTTAGGAGAATGGAGTTTCAGCAACAAAGGATGAATAGAAAAAAAAGCAGAAAATTTGAAACTCTAAGACTAAAACTCACAAACAAAGATTAAAAAAAAATCATCTCAACTTATTAAATAATTAATTGAAAACAGCACTCTGTATCCTGTACTTGCCCGTTAAAGCCATGAAGCAGGCAACTTGATATTACAGCCACTATCCAAAATTGAGCATAGATCCATAATCTAGAAGTAGAACTATTTAACACAACATACAGGGAAATCATACAGCTCTCAGCTTTTCTCCAAAGTACATCTTGTAAGTCTCTTAACAAATGGGCCTTCCTGTACTTTTCTATAGTAAGCACAATTCCCTGTCAGATAAAACAAGGGGTATTTCAAAGATTTTTCTAAACAGAAGTAACTTAATAAAAGGCCTTCATGGTGTTAAGTGCTCTGGATTCCACTTTGCTTTCCTTATGCAGCCTCTAACTCCCAAACTCGTCAGCATTACCAGAATCAGAGAGCTTATTCTTAGTGAAGGATTTCAGTTTTCCAGAAGGCTAGTTAACACAATGAAGCTTCCAGACAAGGAGAGTAGATACTAAAAATACTATTACAGACTTGCTTCTACATTTGCACTTCTGTTCCATCTAGAGAGACAAAGCCACTATGCAGCACAGAAAGCACAGAGAGGCAACATGGGAATGGAGTACATTTGCAAGGTTTACAAGCTTTTCACACAGCCTTATCATTTCATGCAAAGAAGAGAAGTCAGATAAAAACACTGTAATCATTTGTTACTGCTAAGACAGGTCTCCTTGAAAAGAGGCTGTTTTTCTGATACTGTTTTCCCCTACAGCTCTGAAACTAGGAGGTGTTCACATTAAGTGGATCCATACAGGCTTGTTTTGGCTGCTAGGCACACCATTGAGAAGACAAGGTTTGAACTGAAAATATATGATGTGGCAGTTTAGAATAATTCTCCATCTAGTAGGGAGCTGCAGGAAGTCAGGCGAGTGAGAAATTTTAGATTCACTAATCCAAATTTCAAACATACAGATGTCAGAAAATAAAGAATTAGGGTTTAAAGTTTACATTACCTACAAATTCACAAAGTTTATTCATAGCAAATGGAAATAACTGAAAGAACTTTAACATTAGTTTTGCATTTTCAGGCTGTACAGTTGGAATAGTCACTAAGGGTTGTACACATTAAGCATCCTTTTTTTCTAGTTCATCAGAACATTATTAGAGTACAAAATAATCAACACAAGTCTGATTTATTTTTATTTATATTCTTAGTTTTGTAATTCTAAAGTTATTGTGACCAGAAGTCTTTGCAATGCCATTTTAAAACTTGGCTTGGGACTAATTTAAATGATCTATTGGATCTCAAAATGCATGTTCTTCCTGCTCTTAAAATGGCTCATTGCTTCTCTATACACTCGAAAAGAAAGATTTATGTTCTTCTGGATTTAGTATATTTCTAACATTTTTTTTTATAATATTGTAGTAGTAGTGTCTTGCAGTTTGTAAGCAGTGGGCAGTATTAGATTCAAATGTGACTTTTTAACTTTAAAGAAAGAGTAGTAGCAGCTAACTTTCAGATCCCTTTTAATAAACGCGGAAGACCTCATCTGAAACTCATTACCACATTTATTCATTTTTATACTTAATCACTTATTTGGTGCATGTCGTTAAGCAATCCCTTATGTCAAATCACAAAAATCTCTGCTGTGCCTTTAAGCTGCAGCTGAGAAGCTCATCATAACCTGCAGCAGGAGCTCCAGTAGGAGTTTTCTTCATTCAGGCATTGCAAGTCTCATTTGCCAGCTGCCACTAAAGTAGAGGCTTTGTACTTGACTTTAAAGGGAGTTGGAAGTGATTAGAACCACAGGTAAACGAAGCACTGATACTGCTCCCTGCGGACTGGGATAACAGTAGCTTGCACCCAGACTCGGCTGAGCAGCACTTTCTAATTCAAAAGCCATTCCCCCGTCCTAAAGACTCTGTAGATGGTTCTCACTCTTCACAAATGTATTTGTCCCAAATTTCCAAGGAAATTTTCTTTCAGCAGCTTGTAACAAGACTGTTATTTCTATTCCCTAGCAAACACATGCACATTCAGCCCTCAGGGAGGAAAGAAGGTGCTCCGCTCCAGACAGAGACCTTCCTCATTCTGACCCACAGAGACAAATCATGGTCTTACACCACACACTCTTAGTCAGGGACTCTGACACTTCCATAACAACCTGTGATGTCACGCCTGTGCCACAGCAAATTCACTGTCATCTGCTGCAGCCCTTTCCAAACGAACCGTAGGTCAACCACTGATTGATCTGTTCCAGCTGAAGTTTGAGTTACGAAGAATTAGGAGCAAATTCCTTCCTAAAGAATTTCCACCCTTCTGGTGAAACAGAAACCTTTCTCTGATATGAAGCTACTGGCCTGGGTTGCTGCCAAAGCATTTCCCGGGTTTCAATCCAGATCACAGTGATTCAAATTAATCTTTTGCAATCATACATTTTCCTACTGCTTGCTTTTTTTTTTTTCTTTTTTTTTTCTTTTTTTTTTAAGACTGTATCTTATTTGATGTTCCTTCTTTTCTCCTCTGTGCAATAATATTTTTAACCTATCCTGGGCAAAACTATATACATATCAAAGCCAAGTCCATGCAAGAGCTGAAATTAAGACCTGTAGGATTAGAAAAGGAGACTATTCAGCTCACAGCATAGCTTTTAATGTGTCATTCTTTTCTCCTTGCAGGTACAATCTCCAGCCTGCTTTCTCAGAAAATACTTTTTGAGGGAATCAAATTAGATTGTGCCCTGACACTAACGTTGGGAGGGAAAAAATCTCCTAACTATACCTGTACTTTCTTACATCCTCAAAAAAAACAGTGGGTCAGATATCTTGAAACTGATACAACAAAACTAACTCAAAAAGACCACCTACACAACGAAGTCTTAGATATTTTGACAGAACAAGTTTATCATCTCCCAAACTAACACATACAATAAAGAGCCATTCTAAAATCACAGCTTTGTGCCAGTTTTCAAAGAGGCAAAAGGCTGAGCCAGTGCCAGCCTGGAACAGTGAACAGACAGCTCATCCTGTGTGTGGTCTTAGGTGTACAGATTTATTTTCTATACACAGGAATGCAATGTTAAGATTTATAAGAACATTGGTTATGTCAGTCATTCTTTCCTTCCCTAAATTCTTCCTTCTGTCTTCAGTAAACACAAACCAAGACTTTTACATTTCTCATGACACAAAATAAAACTACCAAAAACTGAACTGCACACAACCTTCCACTATACACTATCTGTTTGGTGCTAAGCATGTATGACATCATTACATATGTCAATTACAAACCTCCAGATGGTGTAAAACCAAAAAGTTGTTAAGTCAACTCCTCATCTTCTGGAAGACAAGAAGCAAAATACAAAATATACTACTGTGTTTAAAGCCAAGATGAATATGCCAGTATTAGAAATATTTTCCCTGCAAATGGTCTCAGTGAAATCACTTCTACCCAAAATAATAAAGCAATGAATATTTTAAATAAAGCGTGCCTGTACACTAGGAGAAATGTCTGCCACTTTTGTTACTCCTTCTTTTATGTCTGTAGCATTTTAAACAACCTGAAAGGAAATTAAATACAGGTCACTCCACAGCATCAGATATATATTTTTATATTTGAAAGAATAAGGATTTCTGGTATACAAAAAACCTTCTCTTTGGCTTTTCACTCAACACTATGTAATTTTAAGAGTCCTTGACTTATTTTTCCCAAGATTTGGCAGTACATTTACTAGTAAAACTTGGCAATCTGAAGAATACCATCATTTTCCAGAAAAATAAAGCAAAAGCAGATCTGATAGCTAGCACATAAAGTATTTCAAAGACTTCTGTCCAAGTAAATTGCTTTTTAATTTTGTCTAAGTTATTTTTGCTCAGCGACTACTTATTTAAACTATTTAATACAATAAACTCTGTCACTTGCTCTAGAAATATACAAAAACTTCAAAACTGGGCTATGCTAAGAAAAGTTCACAAAAGTACTAAAAATTGCCAAATTCGAAGTCAAACCTTATAAATCTTCATGTCATCACCCGTCACTCATGACCAGCTCCAGTGGTGACGTCTATTTCTTGAAGTCCCTTACTGTTAACTGTGTAACTTATATGCCATATATACATCATTTATGAAAGTGGTTTTAGAGTTCCATGTGGAAGTAAAATGTGAAGAAGCACTAACGTGCTTTACTGTTAGAAATCTTTATTGTACCAGAATAAATGAATATATTTAAAGCAAAAGTTTGGTTGTATTACTTTTTTAATTAAAGTAAATCTGAAGCTACTAGTTAAGCACCAAGTACACTGCAGTACCACACCTGGGGTAATAGAAAAAGCAAACTGCAATGCATTGTCTCTCTCCCTCCTAATTCCATTTCTGTTCCAGCACACACTATATTTGCTTTCCCCCAGAGCTCTTCTTCTTCCACTGGAACAGGTTTCCCAAGGAGGTTGTGGATGACCCATCCCTGGAGGTATTCAAGGCCTCGTTGGATGTGGCTCTGGGCAGCCTGGTCTGGTGGTTGGCAACCCTGCACATAGCAGGGGGTTGAAACTAGATGATCATTGTGCTACTTTTCAACACAGGCCATTCTATGACCCTTTGCCCTTTCGTACTATTATTTTCTCCCTTTGTGATGACCACTCCAGGCATTATGGTGTTGCTGACATGATTGTGTACTACCCTACCATATTATGCAGCTCTTTTTAAAGGGATAACTTCAGTTAATCAGAAAAATAACTATTAAAGATCTTAGTACTTGTATCT